AATTTGCATTTTCTAGAATTTTCTATAAATGGATTCTTTTTGGGGGGGTCTGGCTTTCATGATTATTTTGAGAGTGTTGTTGCATGCGTCAGTAGTTCATCTTTTTTATGGCTGAGTAGTATTCCATAGTGTAGCTCCTTTCATTCCTTGAAGGACATTTGATTTGTTTCCAGTTTGGGGCTAACAAATAAAACTGCTATGAACATTTGTGTATAAGTCTATGTGTGGACATATATTTCCTTTTCTTATGGGTAAATACTTAGGAATCAAATGGCTGGATCACTTTGTAGGTGTATGTTTAACTTTTAAAGAAGCTTCCAAATTATTTTCTGAAGTGGTTGTACCATTTACATTCTCACCAGCAGTGCATGAAAGTTATTCATTCCTTCACATCTTCGCTAATACTTTGTATGGTCAGTCTTTTAAATTTCACCTGTTCTAATGGGTATGTTCATTGTGACTTTAGTTTGCATTTTCCTAATGACTAACGATATTGAGCATCTTTTCGTGTGCTTATTTGCTATCTGTATGCCTTCTTTGTGAAGTGCCCATTCAGATCTTTTCTCCACTTTTGTATTAGGTTGATTTTTTATAATTGAGTTTTGAAAGTTCTTTATAGATTCTGGACACAAGCCCTTTTATCAGATACATAATTTGCAAATATTTTCTCTCAGTCTGTAACGTGGTTTTCATTCTCTTCATGATATCTAAGGGTTTTTCTTTTTCTTTTTTTTTTTTTTTATAAAGTCCGATTTATCAGTTTTTTCTTTTATGGATCATTCTTTTGGAATCTTATCTAAGAAATCTTTGCCCAATACAAGATCACAAAGATTTTTTCCCTTTGTTTTCTTTTAGAGGTTTTATAGTTTAGTTGTATATTTCTGCCTTCTGGATATCTTCTTGAAGGGGTCGTCTACACTTGCGGTGCCCAAGGCTTCCCCACCTCAGTCGTCTGTTCTTGCATCTCATTTCTCTTTCCTTCTCCCCACTGACCCCCCGGACCTCCTCGATGCTGAGTCCGGGTGTCCTCTTGCCCTGGAGAACTTGGTATGTGTCCTGTGCTCATGCTCTAGCTTCTATCACCCCTCTGAAGAGCCATCCTGGGGCGGGTAGCAGCCTCTTCCTGGCACCTTACGGCCCCTGGGCTTGCCTCTGCCGTGGATCCGATCATAATGACCAGGGTCTGTCTTCTGTCCCACTCCTCTGCCACTAGAAGCCTCCCACAATCCTTCAGCAGGCCCATGCTCAGGACCCAGCTCAAGGCCTGGCATCAAATAGGGGCCCAAGAAGGTCTGTTGATTAACTGTGAGAGAACACTGTCTCACTCTCTCTGCCCCAGACACAGAGAAGGCAAGCTGGGGTGAGAGACCTAACTCTCACATTTAAGGTAAAATCTCAACTCCCCATCTGGGCTGTGGGGCCCGTGATGTGGCCCTGAGGACTTCCACGACCTCATCTTGTGCTGCCGGCTTCTTCATTCCCTATGCACACCATGCTGGTTTCTGCCTCCCCTGCCTGCAGAAGTGGCAGACCCCTCTGCTGCTCTCTCTGCTAATTCTTTTGTAATTCAGATCTAAGTTTGAAAGCCCCCTACTTACAAAGGTCCCCCTTCCTCCTACCACGCAATCTAAAGGGGCCACTTGGTCCCTAGCTGCCATCACCGGTTGGTTGTGATGGTCTTGATGGCACATCCTCACTGTATGACATTTTCTCACTCGTTTGTGGTTAAGAGAACATCATCCTCAGGAGAGCAGGGAGTTTGTCTGCTGTCTGCCCTTATTTTCCTCATGCTTAGAACAGTGTCCAGCACTTATGGGGGCTCCATGTCGAATGGTGAATATTGAACGTTAAACGTTTGTAAATCAAGGCAGAAGTCGCCGAAGGATGCAGATGTCCGGGAGGCTGGGCCAGGCCTCTTCTTGTGCCCGGCCTTACCCGGGCCCGCCACAGCCCAGTAGTGTTCTGATCAGATCCTCGTGCCTAGGGGGGTCTCCGTCAGTCACCATGTGGTCCTGCCCAGGGCTCAGGCTATCACTGTCTCCTCTCCTCTCTGGGAAAGGTGCCACAGCACAGGGTCCTCTGGGGGCCTGGGAGCCAGTGGGGCAGGAAGAGGTGCTGGCCCAGGGATCAGCCCGAATGGCCTAGCTGGACAGGAGCCTAGCCAGGCAGGGGCCTAGCTCCACTGTCCCTCATTGTACAAATGGGACAGATATCAAGAGGGGAGAGAGATGTTTGAGGTTACACAGAGTCGGCAGCTGTGAGGACTGAGAACACACTTCTCTTGCTGGCAGTGAAATTCCCCAAATTAAAAACGGGCAGCTTAGCAGGTTCCTGTCGCCCAGGGGCTTGGAGACTTCCTGGCTGGTCTCAGCCTGTCCTTAGATCCTGCCTAGGCCAAATTGGCCAGGCCCAGGGAGAGGAGGAGGTAGGGTAAGTGCGTGCCCCTCCATACCTTGACTCATTTAGGGGGAGGTGGCATTGGTGGAGACCAGACAGCGGCATTCCCTTGGCCCACGGGAGGACACTGACTCAGGCAAGCAGTGACAAACAGAGCCAGGTCCTCCCATGGCCATGACTCACCCCCACCCGCCCATATGCCTCTTTAGGGAGAACCTCCCAGGAGGTTTCAGGGCACACATCCAGGGCCCATCCCATCCAGAGGCAGAAGCCTGGGCCCCTGTAGAAGGGGCGTGGCAATCAGCATACCTTACAGGATGCTATCTTGCTAGGGGACAAGCAGCCTCCCGCCTTGGCAGAGGGCAGCGCAGGGGCCAGCCTAGGCTCTGCTGTTCAGAGGATGGAGTTTCTTTCCTTTTCCAGCCCAGCCTGGTCCTGCTGCTGGCAGAGTTGGGTTTTGGCCTGTTGGATGATGCAAGGACATATCCTGGACTGGGTTGGCCGGTGGCTTTTGAGGATGGACAATAATAGCCCTGATGATGCAAATGATACTTGTCATTTACTCTGGGCCAGTCATTGTGCTCAGCATTTCCCACTCATTATTTCGCTTAATATCACAAGCAGACACAATTATTATCCCCATTTTAGAGGTGAAGGGACTGAGGCACCAGAGTAGGTGAAGTGGTTTGCTTGAGTGAGGTCACCCAGCTAGGAGAGGCAGGGCTGGGACTGGAACCTGCATTTCCTAAGAGAGCAGAATCCAGACTCTTCCTTGACAGGTGCCTCTCTGACAGGTTCCCTGGGGAAAGGCCTTGGCCTTGTTTTCCTCCTTCCTGGCTAACTCATACTCTTTCTTCACCTGCTAATCCTGGGCTCTCAAACCCCCTGCACATACCTGTCCTATAACTTCTGTGCCACCTGTGCTTCCGGGGCTGATAACACACACACACACACACACACACACACACACACACACACACACACAATTTATATAGCTATAATGAAGCCGGTACTTTATTAACATAAGTAGGAATGTTCAAGAGGTCTTGGCAACTTGGACACCGAGATGCAGGGACAGGCTAAGCTTTCCCCTGACAAGACAGAGGAAACCGAGACCCCTGGGACCTCTGGGACTGGCTTTATGTCTGGCAGTCCAAGGCCTTGGCATCCTGGACTAGGGCCTCCCTCTGCTCAAGAGGTGCCATGGGGGGAAGTGGCCCATGGAAGGGCCAGACATCAAGGGCTCCTGGGACCCTGTGCAGAAGTCAAGTGTTTGGCCTGCAAGCTTCTAGGCTCAGGTCACACGCTTGGGTGGGGAGGAGTCAGTTTGGGCCTGTTTGGGAGTGAGGGGTCTGAGGAGGCTGTCACATCATTGATTTCCTGAAGAGCTGCCTGCCTCTGGCCCAGCCTAGAGGTGGCAAGGTCAGCCCTCCCATGCCTCCCCTCAATGTCTCTTCCATAGATGTTACCAGTTTGTTTGTTTGTTTGTTTGTTTTTAAGGTGAGGCAACCCTTGGTTGACCCTCACAGATTGCAAGGAACAATCTTACAATAAGCTTACAATCCCTTATTCTTTTTTATTTTTTACACCGACAGTACCTGGTCTTCCTAGGTGATCTCCCATCCAAGTACTAAACAGGCCCAATCCTGCTTAGCTTCCGAGATCAGATGGGATCAGGCTTGCTCAGGGTAGCATGGCTGTAGACCAGATGTTACCAGTTTCACACATGAAAAAGTCACACACGGGGCAAAGTCTCAGCTTCCTCACTTCCTAGTTTTGTAAATTTAGCAGGTAATCGAACTCAGAGCCCATTTCTCAACTGTATTGTAGAGATAATTCCTGTATCGCCAGGTTGCTGTGAGGGTGAAATAGATTCAGCAAGTACCAGGCTGCCCTCTTCCACCAGGGACCTTGCAGGGCTGATGTGAAGAACCACTGCTGGGAAGAAGGTACCCAAGGGGCAGTTTCTCCATGATGGGCAGCACTAACAGGGGCCCTGGGAGAGGAGGGCAGTGGCTGAGCCCCCACGGACATCAAGTGGGAGACTGGCCCCACTCCAGCCCCAGGCTCAGGTGGGCCCTCTCACACCCAATGCAGCAGAAGCTCTAGAGGGGCTGAGAATCCAAGCACCAGCTTTTTGGACAGAACTTGGCTGAGGTGGGCTCTTCTCATCCTTGCCCAACCTGAGGGTTCAGTGGGCTGGGGCGGGCAAATGCTATACCAAGGGCTGGCTGGAGGCTAATCCCTCCCTCCTCAGGTCTCCAACACATAGGCTCTTCCTAAAAGAGCCACAGAGACTATCGTGTTCCCAAGGCTCTGCCTCCAGCCCTGGATCCACCACCTCCCGTGGAGGGAGCTGAGGCACTTCCCAAGCTCTCGGAACCTGTCTCCAGCAGTGTGGAAAAGGACCCACAGGAGCGAGTGCTCCGAGGTGTCCTGTGTGGATGGGATAGGTGGTAGGAAGGGGTCTGTGACACTCATGCCCATCCAGGGGTCAGGTGAGGATAAGCAATTGTTTCTTGAAGTGATAAGGGCTGGGTCACTTCTACTCTCTCCGTCCTATAAGGGGGCCCAGAAATAAAACAAGCCGGGAGAAGCAGAAGGCTATTATATATCATGCTTTTAATACAAACTTAAAAAAATCTGGAACAATATAAACTGTACAGATTTGATCAATCTTTTTGTTTTGTTTTTAAACTAAACCTCTAAGCACACCAATGTCCCATTCCAAAATATTGCACAACATTCTGAATACAAAACGCTTGATTGTATTCTTCCTTCACTAAAGAAAACAAGTTCATTGCCCTGCTCCCCCAAGCCCCTCTCCACATAGCCTCAATGCCCCCTTCCCTTCCTTAAGGGTCAAACTAGAGAATCTATAGCTCACTGCATTGAGAAAAATACATCATTCTGGACTAAAAGTTTACATTCTTTACAAGACAATCCACCTTTTGATTTGTTGGGAAAGAGGGGGTAGATAGAGGATGGGGAAAGGGGAGAAATAGGTTTTATTCTCCTTTTTTATTTTAAAGTTTGTTTTTCCTGAAAAAATATCTTTCTCTCCTCTTTTTAAGAAAAAATCTTGAAAAGAAAAAAATTACATTTTTTACGTTAGAAATATACATATATTATATATACCTCTTACATTTTACAAATGTAGCAAATTATTCAATACAAACGGACACCAAAAAATGTAAAAAATAAAAAAAAAGTTTTCCTACGAAACCAGGTAAATTAGTGCAGATTTTTGTTTTCTTAAAAAAAATAAAATTGAAGCAAAAATGCCTAGATTTGAGACGAGACAGACCGTACTGGGCCCAAGAGCCCGGCGCTGGAGTCATGCTCCTGATACACGCTTTTCAAGACACTAAGGGGTGGTCACCCCTCTCCCTGTATGTGGTGAGAAACAAGCTGACCGGGGGTGGTGGGTACCTGCGTGTGGGAGTGTGTGTGGGGGACTGGGAGGGGGCATAAGGCAGCATCCAACCTTTCCCAGAGAGCAGCAATCTGCCTGGGCCTGTCACCTGTGTGGGAACCGAGGGCTAGGGAGAGGGTGGCGCAGACTGGGCTGGCCCCTGAGAAGTTTAGGGGAACAGATGGTGCTGGGCTGAGGAGTCAGAGCATTGCCCCGCTGGGGGAGGTAGAGCTGGTGCCCAGTGCAGGGAGAGGAGGCTGGCAGTGTCTGGGCCAGACCCACTGCCAGAGCAGTTGCCCACCTGGGATAGCTGGAGAGGATGGGGTCGGGTGGCGAGGGCTTTGGTACTTTCTGGTGATGGGGGCCCTGATGCCCTGTGCCCCACTTGCCAAAGCATTACGACGTGGAAGCCAGCTCACTAGGTTCGGGCTGGAGAGACAACTTCTCTTCCTGCAGAGGTGGGGAGCCAGTGCTCTTCCATAATCCAACACCTGGGCTGCGGTGGCCGAGCCCGGCCTGCCCAGAAGACCTCTCTTCACGGCATCAAGGCCCCGTGGGGTTGGGTCGGTCGGGCAGTGAGAGGGGATGGCAAGAGGTACCAAAAAGTTCTCAAGCAGGAAGGGGCAGAAATGTACTAAAACATCTACAACCAAAGGACCAAAGAGTCTCAGCTGGAGGATTAGGGCCGCCCACTACGGGCACTGACCCAGAGCTCCTGGCCCCTAGGGAGCTCAGGTGAGCAGCCCCCGCCTTGGGCTTAGGTCACACAACGGGATGGTCTGAGTCCAGGGACTTCTTAGGCATCAGAGCCTGGATATTTCCTCAGCCCCTCACAGCTAACCCATTTTTCTTTTTTTGGTCAAAAACAAACAAAAGTGCAGATGCAGTCAGGAAACCAGTTCCTTCTGCAGTGCTTTCCCCTGGGAGTGTCTCAGGCTCAGCCGCAGTCTCACCCCACCGCACGAACCACCCTACAGGACTGAAACCCACCCTGGCCCGTTCCCCAACCTCACACATAAATTAAGCACTTGCTGCTACCCGGAATCACATCCAGAGGGGAAGCTTCACATGGCTTGGAACCCTTTAAAAACAGGACAGCAAACCATGCACACGCATGCGCGCGCGCACACGCCTGCACCGCCCCACCACCCTACCCACAACCTCAGGCCCTGGGAAAGGGGGCTGCATGAAAGAGACCACATGTCCAACGGGTTGGGTCTCCAGGGCCATGATAATAGTCTGGGCCAGGTGAGGATGGTGGCATGGAACCGCAGGACAGAGATGAAAGGGATTCCACTGGACAGACTGCCAACCTCCCTGGAGTTAGGTATCAGCTCTAGGGGGAGGGTGTCGAGTAGCCAGCCAGCTCCCCGTGATCCAAGCCTGAGAGGGGGTGGGGCCCAGGGTCAGACCTGTTTGGGTGGCAGGGCCCAAGAAGGCCTGCTGAGGTTGGATGGCTTTGAGTGAGAAGAGAGCTGGGTGATGGAGGCAGTGACAGGGGACTGCCTCTCCCTGTTCTGGGGAGGGCCAGGCCCCAGCTGCAGCTTTTCCTTCCCTGTGAGCTTGGACACACCAATCCTAAACCAGGGGTGTGAAGGAGGGAGGGAGCAGGGAGCAGCAATTCACATCTGGACCATTCTTAGCACAGGAAGCCACTAATTAAAGATGTTATATAGAAAACTACATGTAAAAAAAAAAAAAAGAAAAAAAAGTAAAACCCAAACCAACCAGATAAATCAGAGGCAGGCGGGGAAGCAGCAGAGGGGCTGAGTTAAGCGCGCTGGGGCGCTTCGGGAGCCCCTCCCGCTCCACGCCTGGCTGGATCTTTTCTCTAGAAGTGAGAGTGAGAAGATTGTAAATCTTTTTGTAAATTTTTCTTTTCCCGTTTTTTTGGCCTTTCCTTTCATTTCTCTTTTCTGTGGTCTTGGGTGCTCCTGGCCCCACAGGCAGGTGGGTGGTCAGTTGGCCAGCACGACGGGCTGGAACGGCTGGCTGGGGTACTGCATGGCGTTCAGGTTGTAGCTGAGGCCTTCCACGAAGGGTGTCTTCTCCAGGAAGAGGCTATTGGTGCCACCTCCAAATACCTGGGCCATGTCGAAGCTGCTGCTGTTGCAGGTGCCGGCCCCACTACCCCCAAAGGGGCCCGGGGTGCTGCCGCCCTGGCCATCGGCCCCATCAAAGAAGAGGCTGGGAGAGCCACTGCCATTGTACACGAACTCCTTGGCATTGGGCGAGAGCTGGGACTGCGGGGCCGGGTTGGCCGCGATGAAGTTCAGTGAATGCATAGACAAAGAGAGGCTCTTCTGCTTCAGCAGGCTGTTGGTGGGAGAGCGGGCCATGCGAGGCTGCTGCTGTGGGGGCTGCTGGCTGCTAGCCCCACCGCTGGCCACACTTCCCCCGCTTGCTGCCCCACCACCCTTCTTCATCTTGGTGGAGCCAAACTTGGTGGCAGCGAAGGAAGCGGTGGTAAAGGTGATGGGCTGGGCGGAGCGGGGCATGAAGGTGGGGCTGGGCGACTGGCCAAAGGATGGCGATGGGGAGTTGGACAGGGAGCTGTCCTGGCTGCCGATGGGAATGAATACCTGGGCGTCAGGGTTGAAGCTGCTCTTGATCTCCTTGTCCAGCTCCGGGGCAACACAGCCCTCACTGTCATCCAGGTACAGCACTTTTACAGCCCCCTTCTCGCCGATCTGGTAGGACACCTCGAAAGGGTCAATCCAGACGCTCAGCTCCTCAGGCACGTTGGCCCGCACATCCTCCACCGCCAGGCCACTCCGCTTGGCAGCCAACTCCACCACGGGGTCCACTATCTCCCCAATGTGGACACAGCGAAAGCCAGAGCCCTTCAGAGGCTTGTCAGGGTACCAGTGGCCTTCATATTTCTTTTTCAAGAGCCGTTCTAGCTCTTCTCCAAACAGGTCTGCCCGGCGCCGGGGCAGCTTGTTGTACAAGTAGGAGATGATGAAGTTCAGGGCCACTTTGATCTCCAGCTGCATGGTCCTTTCCTAGGCAGAGAATCAGCACGTGTGCAAGCCAAGGGTAGTGGCAGGAGATGGACGGTGAGCAGCCTTGGGCTCCAGACAGCTCTGGGAAACAAGAGAGGGCGTCATGAGTAGACATGCAGAAAGCCAAGTGGTGAAGGACAGATGGAAAAGCACCAGCTTCAGAACACACAGACCCAAGGTCCCATTTCTGTTCCATTAGTAAGTAGCTTAATTGTGTGACTGTGGGCAATCACCTTTTCTGAACTTTAGTTTTCTGATCCTTATATTAAAACATGAGACTATCATGAACATTACATTAGTTCAAGAATGTAGACTGCCTCCCGCTGTACCTGGTATTTAGTAGTACTTGATAAAATTAGCTATTATTTTAAGCAATTCTAAAGAAACAGGCATGCTGTGGTTTCTGGTATTTTGAGAATTCAAATCACTGTACGACTGACACACACACAAAATCAAGCCCTTAATTCAGCGGAAGGAGGGAAGGCTCCTGCTGACTTGTCTCTGGCATATCTCGGTGGAATCGTGGTCCCAAACCGTCGCAGGCCAAGATAAGGTTAAAATCTTTGGTTTTCCTCCTTCGATGGAAAGGCATACAGGTCACTGAACGAGAAGCAGCACTGCTCACTTCTCACTGCGGAGCTTGGCTCCCTGGGGGGCTGTGCGCTCCTTGGGCTCACTCGGGGTTTGCAGAACTGATTTAGGAACTCCACAGTGTGCCCGAGGTGAGCACTGCCACCCAGATAGCCTCCAGGACTAGAGATGAGAGCATGATCCCCAGGAAAAAGTCAAGACCTGTCACAACCAGAGGCCTGGGCCAACAACGGAACTGCTGACTAGGGGCTACCCCAGGGAAGCCAAGAGAAGGCGAGGGAAGGAGGGCCCTGCCGGCCAACAAAGCCTTAAGAGCAGCACTAGTATGGCCTGAGGGAATCTCTGTAGTTTCTGGCTAGAGTATAAGTGACAAGGGGGGCAAAGAGAAGAAATTTTCCATCACCCTGCAGCCTCCAGCTGGAGACCTGTCATCACTCAGTCTCCCGGGGACTGTCTGACCACCTGTCCTCGGCACCAGATCAGATTTATGAAGTGTTTGGAGATCCCTGGAGAGGAGGCGGCCCAAGATAAACACTCAGATTGTTATTTTGGGATTCTCTCACAGCCAGATCGCACAGAGGTCAAAAAGGTTTATTCCCGAGTCCTGGGCCAGCCTCGTGTCTCAGGATGATGATCTGTGAGGTTCTGAGAACCAGCGATCCTCATCTCCTCACTTTCTCCAAAAGGGCAACTCTAGGCCCATGCTGTGGGAGAAATGAACCGCAAAGGCCACTTTCAGGGATTATCAAGGCCAGAACATGTTCCTAGCCAGACCCTGGGTGACATTGTGCTGCTGAGCTCAGCACAGAGACAAGAGTGATCCATGATCCATCAAGGGCATCCTATCCTGTGATAGACCTGGAGCTGGAATTTTATTAAAATCCCTCCTGGGTCCAGCACAGAGTATCTAGGGGCTAATTCTAGGTTCAAGGATCTTGAGTTTTCTGAACACCTGCCTCAAGTCACTTCCCTGTAATTCTCAGCCCAGGGCCATGGCTCCTAGGGGCATTTTTGGGACTGACTTCTCCAGCGAAGCTCTCTGGGATAAGCATCAGAAGATGCACCGGTCAACCTGGAGCACCGTATACACTGGCTAGGTCTCGGCCCGCCCTCATTTCAAGTCTGAGCAGACAGAGGGTCATGTGGGGGAGTCAAAAGAGATGTCGTGAGCATGGCCTCTCAAGCTCTCCATAGGGGTGCTCAGGATTCAGGAGACCCTTGCTCCCTTTTATCCCTGCCTCCATCGCACACTTAATCTCCAGATTAAGTGTGTCTATTCATGGTCATCACAGATCAATTCCAGGGTCCTTCAAGGTTTAAAAAGAAGTAGGAAGAATGGTAAAGATAAGGGGCTTTCCGTTTACGAGGATTGGCTTCACTACCAGATACAAAGCTAGCTACCAGGACTTTGGGCCTCTCCTCAAGAATGGAGGTTTACAAAGGGCCACAGAAGCCCGCTGGAGGGGTCCAACACGGAGGAGACTAAGAAGTTGTGAAGAAAGCTAGCAGTAGTTCCCAAGGGTAAGTCAGGAGTTAAAGATGATGTTTTCAAAATCTAAAACAGACCTGAATACCACATATGATGTTTCTCCCAAGGTATCACATGGCCTCTTGGTATGCTACCCAGACCCAAGGGCTCCTACACCTTTCTAGGCTTCTTCAAACCTTGCTGCATAATTGCCTTCCAAATTTACCTCCTCTGAACAGTTCAGCCTCAAAATGGGAGCGTTTTAAATGCAGGCCAAAGTCATTGGGAAATAAGCTTCCCACCCCGAAATAACAATAGAACCACTGTCATCAGCCCTGCCTAACTAACCACTTTCTGCAGCATAAGCAACTAAAGCTGCACACCAATTTATATCTCAGTGATGCTGCTGCACAAATAAGGAAGTATATAATGCTACCTTTGCCTCTTTAATTGGAGAACAGGCCAGGCTAGATGGCTGTGGGGTGGAACCTTACAAAAATGCCGGACAACCAGAATGAGATTTTCTGCTTTATCAGCTCAGGCTCTAATTTTGACTTCAAGAAGCTTATGGAACAGAGGATTAAAGCTGTGGTGTCTTGTCTTTAACTAATGATAGAAGTGACCACTCCGATGAGTTTGCTCTTTTTTTTTTTTTAACGGCCATCGTCTCCTACGCATTCTAATGCTTATATGTAAAAAATTCATAGAATGTGGTTAAGATTAGAAAGCTTAGAAATAACTACCTTTCAATAAAAAGAACAAGTAGATTTGAGGTAAGCAGCAGGACAGGACTCTTAAGACCTCTTACAACCCTGACTCAAGTGCAAAAGGCAGGAAGGTGGGCAAAAAGAGGCGGGGGCGGGGGGGGGGGGGCTAAGGGGGAGGCACGCACTGGCGGGACTGGCAGGGGCACGCCTCGGTCCGCAGTCACGCCCATGGGCATTCGCCCTCCTTAATTCCTGCCAGGAGGGAGTGGCAGCGCACCTCGGGGTTGGAGAAACGACTCTCCTTTTCCCGCAGGTCGTGGCGGTGTTACTCTGCGGTCATTCATTACCAGGAAGCCATAAGGAACCTTCCTATCTAGTGGCTTAAGGAGACTGTAACAGGGGCTGCTTTAGTGAAATCGACCACCCTCTACCGCCCCTTAATTAATATAAAACTATTTTTTAAATCTTTTTTTGGAGAACTGGCATGCAGATCTCTCTCTAGCATTAAGGAGTTCACGGTAGATTTTAACTTCCCAGGAACTGGGTGCCTGGATGCGCTTGGAGAGTGTGCACTCAGAACCCGTC